GACGAAGAGCTACAATTGTAGCGCAGCTCAGGAATCCGGCTTGTTGCAGATGTTTAACTATAACATGTGTAGGGTTGTGCTTGGCGAATCTTAACAATTTTTCTGAAATACACGTTATAAAAATCAGATCAGAGGAAATTGAAATTGAAAAACTATAGCAAATTCCAAGTTAATACTACTCTCCGTCAGCAAAGGGGTCACAATCCTATAATTGTCATTTTCAGAATTATGCCATTATGTTATATGAAGTATTCTTGTTTGCAAGACAGTCCGTTGTTGTTAGAAATAGTCTGTGTTAACGGTACATAAGCCTCCAGATTCCATTTCTTATTCTGTTTCGTTTGAAGCGTCATTTCCTCGTGTCTGCCAGAATGATATTAAAATCTATTTTTGGTACCCTCAGAACAATTTCACGAAGTAAATCTTAATCTCAAACATCATTGATATATACACAAAGTAAGGATTATAATTATCAGTTTTTTCACATTATCAACAAAACAAAAACACACATTTATTTCCGACGTTCATATACATTTTTATCAAACTGAAGGACCGTTTTTAATCTTGAAAAGTTATGAAAATGACAATAAACATGGATGTACAGTGTAGAAACCTTAAACATGTGGAATTAATCAAATTCCAAGAATGATATCATATATAGAAAAGTATTGTGTCACGTGGTCGATGGGGATTATATGATTAGACGTGTCATTTACAGTCAAACCGCGTGGTGATATGGACATGTTGAAGTAAACATCTTATTATTTGTATATTTCGTTTCGCTTGACAATTACAATCTGAACTCACCATGCGTTTTCGTCAGGAAGGAAAACAAATTATTTTTATATCCTCGCTTCATTGATCTCACACAATTAACAATCGCCCTTCAGGGATGATAATCGCGAAATCTGTTCGCTTCATTGAGTGTTATATAGGTACTTAATTTTCGTGTTTAGAGTAGAAAACGCAAGGGTGTAACCACTTATCTAATGTAATTTAACATAAACAAAACCAAATAATTGTAAATAGTACAGTAACACTTGTAAAAATGTTCTCATTCATGTTTTATTGTGTTCACATCCATGTCTATTGTGTTCACAGCCATGTTCATCGGACAGTATTTAAAATATTTATGATATGCGTCTATGTTTATAGATATTTTGTATCTAAACCATGAAACAATTATTCAATTTTATCTTTACGCCCACGAAATAGTAATCACAGGTAGACTATGAGCTACGAATTGACGAAAATTAATCACTCAATCTCACTTTCAATATGAACATGTTAAACGTAATAACCGTTCAATTTTATAATTAATTCTCACTCTTTTCAATGTGATTTTAAAATAAATTTCCTGGGTTGAAATCAGCTTTCTATAACAGAGATTGGATGTCCACCCCGTAAGCATGTACAAATGTTTCTTGTGGGGAAAAGGGCTTGTGTAGTAAACATGTAAAGGGGCCAACGAAACACCGGAGAGAATTCACCAGTATCAGGAAAGTGAGCGGGATCGGGCTAGATATTGTTCGATTTTCACTTCTTTAGCACCAGAATGCTCACAATAGTGACCTTCAAGGATAACACGTCTTAAAATGAAGTAGACTACATTTAGTTTTTTTCGCTCATTGTGAATGCGGAACGAGACCGGCGGTTTCCGAGATATTTCTATCAATCTATTGTGAATTCTGGGACAAATAAGGCTGGCATCTAGTTTCACTCTCAAGTGTCATATTTCAGTTTAAAAATCCAAATCCTAAGTCAAGTATCCAGTTTAAAAATAATCTCAGGCAATTACTTCATTGGTCATTACTAGTTATATAATACCAGACCTTCTCCTCTAGAAACATCGTCACATGCTCCTGTACTACTCACGGTGGTATTTGGTATAATGGGTCTTTACAATCTGACTTCACCAATGCCCTTGTTTGAAAAATAGCACGATATATTAAAGTAAATCTGAACTATTTGAAAGTGAAAAAAGAACTGAACACAAAAACAAAACATTGAAATCAACTAAAAATTACATGATAATAGGTTTTCGTATTATTAGCATGATAGAGGCTTTAATATCTAAGAATAATGTGGAATGACAGCGTGGGGAGCACAAGAATTCAATGAATGCTTTGAGAAGGCGTTTTCAGCAGACGAACACGCTACGGGACAGCCCACGAATAGGACGCCCGCGTGTGACGTCACGTCGGTGAGATACGTATATCTAGGCGTCACATTATCGGATTCAGTCCTCTTCATTGACCGCTAGACGCATTCCGGGACTTACACCGGATCAGTTGCTGAACCATCCGAAACAGATTGCGAGAGACACATACCAGTCTAACGTAACACAGTTGCGCACGTTGCCTGCTACGACTCATCAACAGGGCCTGGTCTAAGGGCAATTCACAGTCTATGAGTCCAGATTTCACCTTTATACCGTCGGCCGGGAGAACGTTACAGTGAGGTTTATGTAATTCAGCGTCGCCAGTTCGTCACAGGGGACATTATGGTCTGTGGTAGAATACAAACGCATGGAAGGACCCCTTTAGTTATAGTGGTTGGCAGTTTGACCGATGTGCTCTTCCGTGACTAAACGTCATCGCTGTTTGTGATGAAATGGGATGACGTCTGCGCCAGGAGCCAAATTCTCCTGCGACGTTGAATGCATTACTTCGTTCAATATCGCGCACATGACAAAACATTCCACAAAAATTGTCGTAACTTGTCGGTTCCATGAGTCGGTGATGTGTGATATGCATCAATGTGAATGGAGGACATACACAGGATTGAACCCGTGAAACTGGATTTGCATCCTCTGTTATATCTGGGTGTATACATTTCAATCCCGATTCACCGAGTGTCTATTTCATGTGTCTTTGTGAAGATAATGCATTGTAGAGAAAGATTTGGAACAAAATGTTACATACTATTTTGCACATGAGTTTGCGAATTAAACAATAGTTATAAAGTTTTCTTTTTCTCCATTTAGTAACTTTCATATGAGCTTACTCGTCAATTCCACAAGAGTTACCTCCCTTGAACCTAATTTCGCGGCTTTCCTGTATAAAGTAATGTAACCTGTGATCGGTCAAGCTAAAGAGAAATCACTGAATTATGGTCATGTCGTTAAAATGTAAAACAGTTGTGTAGTGGGTTACCGTTCTTTTCTAGGTAAATGTTACAATGTTTTGTAGTTGAGAATTTTTGTCATACTTTAGTTACTTGTCGAACTGTTTAGAAGGCTGGTGTCCGGACAGTCATTCTTTGAACTGGGAAAAGCTTGGGAATCCAGGATCGACAACCTTTACCCATCTAATATCTGGTCATAACTATTAAAAGTCAATGGTGACATGGTGTTTTGAAAGGTGGCCAGGTTAAAAGACCTCGTTATAAATGATATTGTACATGTATAGTAATCCCATATGTGTGTATTATAATATAATGTTCTATGTTCTGTCTTCACATCATATTGACTACATGAGGTAAAATATTAGATTAAAGATTAAATACTGATCACAGAAAGATAGAAAAATTACGTGATTATATTATGTTCCACGATTTTAGCAGTTTTAGCAGGTCATGATATGATCAGTATTAAGCTGACCTGATAAAATTAGGCGAAATGATGGCACTGAAAGTGTAGTACTCTGTCGGATGACAGCTTATCATTCCGAGATAGAATTTGTCGTAATTGTCGATGATTAGACAAATGTAATATAAAGAAACTACAACTCGGACACAATAACTTATCAATTTGTTGAAATGGAAATGATTGTGTAGATAAGCGAGATGTTTCCCAAATTTGAAGTTTTCATTTCTAGGTAGCAACATTTCTGCTATCTCTAATAAGTTTGAAATTCGCAGCGATGAACTTGGGCTTGTTCTCAATATCATGATAGGTAATGAATGTGTCAGTTAATGAATGTTTATGGTTAAAATAAACACAGTTTAATGTTGAATTTTAAACGTTTTATTTTCGTCGTCATGATCTCTGTGGGAAATATTCTATTTTCTTCAGCAATGTTCTGTTTGACTGTTCGATGCTGGTTATTACGCCGTGTAGTTTTGATATTACAGACTAGGTTCCCATTCAGAGAACATGACATTATATGGATGAGCTCGATTAAAAGACCCGTACCCTTCCGGAGCTCACGGCCTTATTCTCTTAGTATTTCAGGGTCTCCTTGCAAACTTTCCCCTTCCTTCGACTTGTCGTTATCTTATCATTTCCATTGGTAATGCTTGAAAATACAACAAAATTGATGAGAGAAGATATTACAGATATTTTCATTTAATGAAACAATGCGTCACATTTCAAATATCTAAAAACAAATCATAACATTATACTTCTCTGTAACGCTGAACTAACGGTAAAATTTCACATTATGCAAAAATGAAAGACATTTGAATTTCATGTTCATAATTCAGTAATAATTTAATAAGAAGAACAGCTGTCGTGTTCAAAAATTGTTTTAGAGTTATCTCCCTTCGTATCGATGACTAGATACTCTGTACACTTCTTATTAAAGCGTCAATTGTCTCCGTAAAATACATGGATACAATTATAATCAGATTAATCAACATAATACTGTGAAATGCCGTCTAGATGAAATCAGTATCATGGGTTCTTCAGGACGAAGATGGCGACTTTCGAATACTGATTTGTGACCTGGTCTGTCAAAATGTGAAGAAAAAGAACGTAAACATACTGCTTATGGTTTTATACGTCAAATCTGCCCTGAGTTTCCTTTTTCTTTCCTCGCTATTAGGTGTTATTTATTGATGGTGATAACAGTGGATTTCCGGAACGGAGTCGTTGAAACTATCAGAACTTTCCGTCAAATTTGGCCGCATCATCCTGTGACGATATCATCAGAAAGAATTGATAAGGTTAATAGTGGAAAGCATATTGAAGAACAGAAATCGTTCCTTGGATATTGACCATTATATCGATTTAAATAGTCTGAAAAAGAGGAGAGAGAGAGAAAAAGTCTGTATGATTATCATGAAATACCGGAGTAGGAACGTCTGGTTCGTTGGTAGAGCTGACGTTCCACGTGAAAGTTCGGGTCGACAACCTTATTTTGTATCTTTACGTTTGAGAGTTTATGCATTATTCCAGTGGAGTTACCATGACACCATGGATTCACCTTTGTCGTGCGTTTTAATGGCGGTCGTTGTTGAGTAGTGTTGATGAACGGTAATGGTGGCTCTTTCTGGGGCCGGAGGAGATGCGACTCACCCAAAATTTTAGAGACCTGTGAGAACGCAGACGGAGTTGTCAGAGGCCTTTGTCGTCGCGATGAACTAAAGTGTCCTTGAGTTGTTGGTCTAGCAGGTTCACTGCACGTGGTTTTCGCAGAATGCATTCTTGCGAGGAATGGGATACTTTCTACCGAACCTTGGTCAACGCTTTTGCGTCTCCATAGTTTACTCTCTCGTGCATAACTACCCACTGCTTGTACAACAGTAACGTTTCTTTCTTTGGCACTATTTGAACATTTTCTGTGATCTAGTATCTGGTTTGTATGTTTAAGTATCGAAAAAGAAGCTTTTGTTCCCCGTCTTAGAATACCCGGCCTTTCGGGTTTCTCTGGAGCGCACATGTATGGAGAACTACGCTGTGTTAACGACCAATAGCCCTCATCATTGAGTTCGAACTCGTGTTTCTTCAGAATATCACCTGAGAGAAACGATGAATTATCATCGACGTCTTTGATCTCATCGAACTTCCCACTATGGTGCCCCGAGTCAGCATCGTCGTCCTTTTTAGTTTCTTTCCGTTTGCTTTCATCTCCACTTTCCTCTCCACTATTATCACCCTCGTCTGCATTCTCTTCATCTTCCTCCTCAACCTCTTCCTCCTCTCCCGGTACCCGTGGAAGGGGTGGCGGTAGGGGGCGTCTCGAAAACTTCCTCCAGCGAGGAGTGATCTTTCGGTAGGGAAACCAGTTCTCATTTTTAAGGTCAATCAGTTCAACAATGAATTCGTGGCCTTTCTCGTACGCGATCTGTCGGCACGATTTACGGAAACAATCGAACCTCTTATTACCTGTCTTCTCCTTCTCGTGCATATCCTGTAAATAAAAATAAACATAGCTTTTTAATAAAAATAGGATTTAAGAAAATAAAGAGACAAAGCATTAAATATCACTAAGGTTTTAATGACCGTCATAATTTTTTTATACATTACGCAAGGTATTCAGACCGACATTGAAATCCCATCAAACAGACAAGCTACATGATGGTCGTTAAGGCATATGTATAGAGACAGATTTAAGATTTAATTATAAAAATGTTTATGATTATTCAGTTCGCGATAACTCTAATATATTACACAAGACAGTTACTAACACACATCAGAAAATTAAGATAATTATATATACAAAGTGTTGTGTCCTCAGAATCACCGACAACATCAGGACTCCAACAAAGTATCGCTTATCAGTAATCCATTGAACGTTTACAACCATGTACAAGTATATAGCTGGTATTGTAAGCTTTGTAATGGCAACACATAGAAAACTGGCAAAGGAAATGATGATTTTCTAATTTCATGGCGAGGGATTTTTTACTAAATGAAACTTACGATTAAATCAATTTCATAGTTGACATCAATGCCGATGTCGATAAGGAATTCCGCCATCAACATCTGACCTGTTCTCATGGCAACCATCAGCATGTTCTCGTTAAACTGAAGTTATATATAAAACATTGAATATGAATGACTTTCAAATCAAAATTATTTCTCGATTTTAAGATTAAGATTATGAAATCATATAAATGAAGAAAAAAGACAGTGCAGGTATGGTCCTTTCCTTAATCTATATATCATAGATCTTCTTCCTCAAAAAGAATTGTAGAAAAGAAGAAGAAAATGTAAGTCATCATGAACATTTATTTCGCTTAGACTTGACTTGAATAACGCACAAACTGGCCAGTAACTTTTACCAGTTGAAAAAACTACCACCAATAAAACGTCAAAAAAGGAACATCAACACTCACCCAAGTCATATTGATATCAGCATTAGGTTTATCCAGACAGTTCTGGTAGACTGCGGTATCTCCGTTACAGACAGCGGTGTACATAGCCTACAGAAAAAACAGATTTATTAAATTACTATCAGACTGATCTCCTCTATGGCTGAAAATGTTGATTTAAACATATTTTATTATCAGTAGCAGAAAATGGATCAGAGACAAGTTCTAGCAACTTATGAACGCTTCTACGTAATTAAAATTACAAATAATTAATATACTGCACGTGACACATATTTATACTATAAACATTAAGATATGTAATTCATAGACGTGCAATTCTAAGTTTGAATCATTTTGTCAAAAGGAGGAAAAGATGAGATCATAGGATAGAAAGAAAAGAAGAGAAAAAAGAGATAGTATAAATTTTATATCGATTTTATATCAATTCAGTGCCGACTGTAAACTGATCAGAAATAGGTAGTATTAAAACACTGAAAATGTTGATGCAGTCCATTGCATGTAATTCTAACTTTGTATCGAAAAGTAAAATTCACTTGTTTTACAAGTTTTAATCACAACACAAAGTTGTCGTTCTTTACATCTAGAAACATTAGAGATTGAGAAGTTGATAATGAACCAAGCATAATTTCGTCACTCCTGCTGTCAGTTACCTTGTAATCAGGTATACTGATTACCTGAAATGTTCGTGTTCACTTGACTTCGCGTTAAGGAACCATTAAGATCGGTCTTTAGCACAGAAATTGTTTAAACCTCGTTTAAATAAAACAAGTTAACTATATTCATATGGTAGCATCAAAGAAAACACAACATTTTTTCCAAACAACGAACATTATATAAATGATTTTTTTGCAACTCAAATCTCCGTATCGCAATGATATTTTCTGACATAAATTATTTAAGAAGGAAGCACGTTTCTAGGGACTTGAATATTTTAAGGAAAAGTTTGAAGAAATAACGACCTTTCTAATGACTTCGAAGTTTTAAGAAGGAGCAACATTTTTGGTGAATTAGATGTTTTATGAAGGAAATACTTTCCTGGTGACTGGAATGTTTTAAGAAGAAAGTGCCGTTCTAGTGGCTTTATGAAGGAAATACTTTCCTGGTGACTGGAATGTTTTAAGAAGAAAGTGCCGTTCTAGTGGCTTCGATGTTTTAAGAAGGAAAGACTAGTGACTGGGATGACTTAAGAGGAGTATTCCTTCCTGATAAGCTGGATGTTTGACAGATAGACTAATGGCTTTGGTATTTTATGACGCTGCCATTTTTCTACCGATCTGGAGATTTTTCCCTGATTGGTGTTTTAAGAATGAGGAAGTTTTCTAGTCACTTTGACGTCTTTTATCTAAATATTTGATATTTTCATATACCAAGCGTATATGTTTTTATTTGATATTTTTTCTTCCGTAATATACCTCCTTTTCTTCCTCTGTCATTTCCGTTTCCGGTTCTTCGTCCTCTTCAATCTGTTCATCTTCTTTTTCCTCTTCGTCTTTGTCAGAATTGCCTTCATCATTGGCTTTTCCTTGGGTGTCTTTAGTGTCCTCATCTCCATCACCTGTTAGTAACGCATCACTTTCCTTTGAAAGAAGAAAACAACAATTTGTTTACTAAATTCTAAACAAAAATCAAGTGTAAATATTCCCAACAACAAAACAGAAGGATTAATTTTATCATTTCTTACAGACCTAATACAGACCAGGAAATAACAATACCATCTATTATCTTTAAACTGGCGTACAGTCTGATGAGTAAGCCATATTAGGTACCTATTTCTCCTAGTGTCGAAGAATTTGAGTTTGAACTAAGGTTCTGATGGCATATAGGTAAATTTCTTCCCCTTCTATCGAATCGGCTAAAACACAGTATTTGTCCAGTTTTAAAATCTATGATGTTATATGCAGTTTAGAGATAATTTGTAGCATTTATAGTTAATTTCTTTGATTTAAAACGCGTAATAATGACCATTCCCAATGGCCACCAAATTTCAGGTCGATACATAACTTCGTTGTTAAGTTATGAAAATATAAATGTCCCTAGAATAGCCATTTTTTGGCGTTATACTGTCTCACTTCAATATTTCATAATTTCAAACTAAAATTAATATATTATCTGTGGATTGTTATCAAATTACATCAATGAAAGTTTATAGAACATTTCCCATCATAAAGTTTGGTGGTTAATTCATAAAAATAGGCCAAATATTAAGGAAGTTATGACTGAATTAAAAAAACATGTGCTTCTGTCAAATTTTTAAAAAAGAGCAGATATGTTGTGTTATATGCCTGAAAAATACTGAAAACATACTAATTTGCAAATGTTTGTTTTTTTAAGACTCGTGTTCGATCAAAGTTTGAAATATTGGCGTATATGGGCAGTCATAAGTTGCTTTTTTTTTTAAAAAATTGAGCATTAAAAAGTTAAGAGTGAAAAATGATTAATATGTAGTGTCCGTAACCATGGGGTTTTGTCTGAGGATACATTTACGATAATAAGGGAATGTTGAAGAATATTATAGCTCTTAATATGCAACTTGTAAATAAAAAATATTCTGTGTTGAATTGAACTTGACACTGAATTTTTTCACATTTTAATGGTTACGGACACTACATAATTTTCCCCCAAAAAATACAATTTGAATTTCACCTATTTACAATTGCCTTTTTTGTTTAACTTTACTGCTTACACAACCACATTCTTTATAATGCAATATCATGCTAATATTGCGTCACTTTTTAATTGTATATTGTGGCTGATGCAATAATTGTATGATGCAATATGATTGCATAATCCAAATGAGTGGTTTTGAAAAACAAAGGGACACATTACCATTATCGTAATTGAAGAATAGCTCATGCTCAATATTGAGTAGTAGGTTATTTCATGGAAGCAAGAAACCCTCACAAATGGAATCAAATGAAGATTTAAGCTCAAGTGATGACCCAGGTATGTATAAATGTATATTAAAGCATTACTTATTATATTATGTAGTGTCCGTAACCTAAAATATGCATATTAATGCTGCCCTGTATCTAACAATTTTACATATATGCTAACCAAACTCTGATGCTTGTATCGTTGTTTTATTGAGCCCAAACATAAAAGAAGGAGAAATAACCCTTTATGTAGTTTCATCAGAGAATGCATATAGGGAATTCGCAATTTGTCTCTTATTGTTTGCATTGAAAATTCCTTTTATGAGGCAAATATCTTCAGAAACTGTTTTAAACAAAGCTGTATGTAACTTACTGCTATTAATGCAGAATATTTACACAGTACATGCCTATTTAATGCAATGAATTTAGGCTTCGGGTATATTTTATGGCACTAATCTCTAAAGATACGGACACTACAAAATACAACAATTTTCACAAGACAACTATATTATTACGGTATGTCATACACAAATTTTGTGTTCATACTCTATCAATTATACCAATATAAGATAATTATAGCCCATATGGATGCATTTTATCCAGAATAATTGCTTTAACATGAACTTTAAAATCACAGACTTAATAAACGAAAACATTGTGATTTTGAATTTTTAGAAAACAAAATAGTTATATTTATGTTTCATTTCTATTTTGCAGAAAAGGGCAGAAAACGATCACTGCGACCCAGAAAACCTGAAAAGCTTGTTGAGAATAAACCAGTTGATGACAAGGTCAAAAAGCAAACAGAGAAAAACAGACTAAAAGTTAAGGCATGGAGAAATCGCCAGAAAATGGAAAACCCTACATATTATGATGCTTTGAAGAAGGCTGACAGAGATAGAAAAAAGAAGGAAAGAATGAAAGTTAAACAGATGGCTAACTCAGATCCCGAATTAAAAGTTTTGCTAAGAAAGAAAAAGGCTGAAGAAATGAAAATATATCGTCAGAGAAAAAAGGTGAAAGCTATGAAATCAATGCCCTCTAGTAGTACCCTGTCAGAAATTTCAGATGGAAAGAAGAGTAAAGCAGCTAATTTGAAAGAAAAAAAGAAAGAAGCTGTGAAGCGAACACAAAGATGGAGAATGCGTATTAAGCTAAATAAATCACAAACTATGAAAAACACAGATAATAATGACAGTCATAATGTAAACACTACAAATGAAGGCAACATATCCCGCGCATCAATGTACAGACGTGTAAAAACAGTGAAAGACATTCTACCTCGGACACCAACAAAAAAAGCTGCTATCTTAAAGAAAATCATTGAATCTCCATCAACATCAAAAATCCTTTCTGATCAAGGAGTGACTATGACACCTGCATGCAAGAAAAAACTTAAAGTAGCAAATGCAATGGTAGAATCGGTGAAAGAAAGTATATCTGAAGTGAAAAGTGGTGGTCAAAAAGACAGAGAAAAGAAACATGCATATAATGTTATACGAGGTTCAGTGCTGAAGAAATACAGTAAATACACACTTGGAAAATACTTCAGTGTTTCCTACAATGCCAGAAAGATGAACGCTCAATGGTGGAAAAAGAAACAAAGAAAGAGAAGATCTGATGCAATTAGTGAGGACGTAAAACAATCTGTAAAGGACTTCTTCTTGAGTGCTGAAGTTAGCAGAGAAGTACCGTGTAAACGCGAGGTTGTGAGAATTAAAACAGAGTCAGGTAAAAAAGAAACCCTACAGAAGCATGTGATGACGATGACACTAGAGGAGGCACATAAACTGTACAAAACAAAACATCCAAGCCATAAGATAGGCCTAACATCATTCAGTAAATTGAAACCAGTAAATGTAAAGAAAGTATCAGAGACCAGCAGGAGGACATGTCTCTGCCAGATCTGTTGTAATATAGCCCTGAAAGTAGAAGCACTAGCAACAGTAAAACGAGCTGTGAAAGAAAAAGGTATGGTAGATGATATTCAGATCGATAAGAAAAGTTTAAGTGATGTAACATTTTGCAGTTATGAACATGAACCATCTGTAAAGTGTTTGACAAGAAATTGTGAAAACTGTGGTGTTGGAGGCCTGAGAAAGTACTTAGAACCTTTGGATACTAAAAATGCTGATGATATATCATGGTACCATTGGGAAACTATTGAAATCAAGAAAGATGAAAAACTTAAGCGCTGCGTTTCTTGTGTACCGAAGAAAACCAATTTTCAAACGTTTGTGGCAGTTATGAACATGAACCATCTGTAAAGTGTTTGACAAGAAATTGTGAAAACTGTGGTGTTGGAGGCCTGAGAAAGTACTTAGAACCTTTGGATACTAAAAATGCTGATGATATATCATGGTACCATTGGGAAACTATTGAAATCAAGAAAGATGAAAAACTTAAGCGCTGCGTTTCTTGTGTACCGAAGAAAACCAATTTTCAAACGTTTGTGGCAGCTTTAGAAAAAGACATGGCAGTGTACCCCACACATGCATTCAGAGCTTCCTGGCAACAAAAACAGATGGGGGTGTGTATAGAAACGTTACTTCCGCGATCTGTTACAATGGTGATGGATTTTAGCGAAAATTATGGTTGTGTTTTCCAAAGTGAAGTACAGTCAGGATTCTTTGATCGGAACCAGGTCACGGTGCATCCAATGATGTGCTACTACAAGGAAAATGTTGGAGACAAAGTTGCTACAGTGAAACATGCCATAATTGGCATAAGTGAAGAAACTAAACATGATGCTGATTTAGCTATAGCATTTGAAAATCGCGCCTTGGAGACATTGGAAAACATGGGAGTAAATATCAAAGAAGTCCATGAATGGACAGATGGGTGTGCAGCCCAGTATAAAGGGAAAAAGGCTTTTGCAGATATCAGCCTTAGAAAGGAACCAACAATTGTACGAAATTATTTCGAGACATCTCATGGCAAGAATGTGTGTGATGGTTTGGGCGCCACAGTAAAGAATGCTTGTTATCGTGCTGTTATTAGCAATCGAGAAGTTATTGGCAATGCGGAGGATGTGTACAACTTTTGCCAAAATAATCTTAAAATGGAAACAGCTGATAATGAAAGAAACACGGTCTCCAGAAGAGAATTTGTGTTCATTGAAAATGCAAACAGAAACAGACCAGAAACTAATGTTCAGACATTAACAGGAACAAGGAAACTGCATTCTGTCAAGTCTTCAGACAAGGAATATGAGCTTTTCATAAGAAACCTTAGCTGCTATTGTGATGCTTGTGTTAAGGGAAATAATCCAGGGTGCGAAAATCCTGACATCGTTGACAACTGGGAGCAACGAAACCTTGAACTTATAGATAAAACGACAGACAGTAAAAGTTCAAAAAGAGATCAGCACTGCAGTAAAAAGCAACCTCAATCTCAGATTCAGAAACGAATTCGTTCAAAAGGAGAGTCAAACTCTGAGAAAACAGAGACAGCTAAACCTAAGAGAAGGAAAATCGTGAATACAACACCGACATCTCCACAGTCAGTCCGAAAACATTACACACCAGGTGATTTTGTGGCAGTGGGTTTGAAACCCAGAAAGGGGCCAATAAGTGTTTATGTAGCAGAAGTTACACATGTTTATGAAGCAGAGTGTGGGCTAAAATATATGAGGAAATCTGGAAATGTCTATGTATGGCCTGATACGCCAGACATGTCTCAGGAGCTTACAGAAAACATCATTG